AATAGTAATAGTAATAGTAATAATATCCAATAATAATAATAATAATAGGAGAGGTGAAGGGGAAAAGGAAAGGAAGGTGGAAGGGGAGGTTTGCTAAGGCCAACCCTGGGAACTCCCTTGCCCAAAAACAGTTGCTAGGAGCCCGGCAGCCCCCGAGGTGTTGACACCGTGCGTCTCCGAGATCATAACGATGATGCGACCCCCTCTCTCAACATAGTGATTTTCACACACACTGTCAGCTCGTGATTCCAAAGGCCGCAGAATCGGCCAGTGAAGTTCGCAAAGCTTATCGTCCGTGGATTCGTTTCCTTGGGGTCCCTCGCAAGGTGTTGTTTGATCTTGGCACGGAGTTTAAAACCGAATTCCGACGCCAGGTTGAAGATGATGGCAGCGAGGCGCGCTGGAGACTCCTACACAACGAGGCCTGACTGAGCGAGCTGGTGGGGTCTTCGGGGATATTCTCTATAAATCTATGGTCAACTACAAGTGCCAGAATCGAGAAGACAGGCAAGAACTCGTCGACATTGCATGCGTGACCCGACACGGGTTGTTGCTGCGAGGTGGGTACTCCCACATCCAACGGGTCATCGGCTACACGCCCCGCCTTCCTGGAGGACTCCTCACAGGCGGAGCTGATGATCATAGTACAGCAGCTAGAATGGTAGTCGGTGACAAAGATGTGGTTCGGTCAAAACGTCACCCGAGAGAGTTCGGCATGCATCGTCGGAAGAGAACTTGTCAGTATTGGTTGCGTGGTATCTCCCAGACTCGTCAAGACTTCGAGAAGTTCGCCAGGAAAGGCTTCATAGACCTAACGGATGATCCCGCAGGTGATCCAGCACTTCCACAACAGCCCGAGAGAGTAGATGGAGAAGAAACCCGCTAACCTACATCATGCCCCTCGAGAACCTCCTGGCGCCGACGCTCCCCTACGTAGAGTTCGACAGAAAACTACGTATTCTACAAACCATAGGGAGTATCCTGGTGAAGACGATCAGGAACCTGGACAACCTTCGGAACCTCAAGCTCCTAACGAACCTCTCCAAGAAGACGAACCTCCGCACCCCAGGTCTCTTCGACGCCGAGAACGACATCGAGATCGACGATCAGCAAACTGCAGAGGACCAGGCCACTGACAGTGGACAGGGTTCGTCTTCAGGGGTTAAGAGGAGGCTGACGAGCATCTTGATCCTCCTGGAAAACGAAGCCGGATTAATCTGATCGAGGTTTATCATCTTCATCTTCAAGGGCTTGCCAAGCAGTGACAGAAGAAACAGTCAAAGGCCAGTGACTTCAAGGGTGTAGACTATGAAAGACCACAGACCGCCATCCTCAAGGAAATCAACAACAACCTAAGTACCCAAGCTATGAACATCTTAGTCGTGAAGCTTCGCAGCAGATTGAGAAGGAGAAGCCGGAAAAGCTAATGGAGTCACGGTACGTGATCACTAAGAAGCCGCTGGAGCCCGCCGAGGTTAGCAAAGCGGAGAGCGAAGGCGTTCTCCTGGAGGACCGTGAACACGGTCCACGCAAGGCCAAGCGTCGACACGTCATGAAAGGTTACTCCGAAGAGTCGGCGTTGGATGTGGAGTTCACCACTACCCAAATCACCCGGGACTCGGTGATCTTCGCTGTCGAGTTTTAAGTGGATTCCTGGGTTCCTTGATTTCGCTCAAGCTTTTCATTCTGGAGATTGGATTAAGACAGACCTCTACTGTCGACAACCTCGCGAGGGCAATCCCGGAGCGCATCCACCACAATTGCTTCGTCTTCCTTCGGCATGTTATGGTTTGACGGATGGGCCCGTAGCATGGTACAAACATCTCGCAAAGAACTTGAGGAAGCTAGGCTATGAGACCAGCAAAGCAGATCCTTGTGTGTTTTTCCTTCGGGGCCCTCCTTCGAAAGGGTCCGAGTTTGAAGGGATCATTGGCGTAGCTACGGATGACCTTCTACATGGTAGCAACGAGAGACGTTGGAAGAACATCGAAGTGATCGCCAAGGAGTATAACCTCGACAAGAATCAGCAGGGAACGGGTAGGTTTACCGGAAAAGACATTTCTTATCAGGAAGATGGTTCAATCCTCGTGAATCAGAAGTTCTTCTATTAGGACAAGGTTCAGACCTTTCCATTGGATAGGAAAAGCGAACAACAGCGGTATTCCAAGTGTGTCTCTGACGAAGTTGAAGCCTTACGAAGCTCATTGGGTGTTGTATCTTGGCTGGCTAAAGAATCGAGATGCGACATTGCCGGAAGAGTGGCTATCCTGCAACGGTCGTTCCCCGAGCCCCAGGTGAAGGACCTCATCGAGGCGAACCGGATCAGCGAGGAAGCTCGCAAGGACAGCGACTTAGGGATGCGAGTGATGCCCATTCCGGTTGAAGGCCTTCGGGTTTCGGTTGTGACAGATGCGGCGTGGGGGAATGCCAAGGAGCAACCTTGGATTGAGGACCACCCAGCAGACTGCTGGGAGGAGCAGAAAGACTGCTGGATCAGGCACCACGTGCACCCTCGGAGGACGACCTTTCGTCCGGGAGGAGCGCCGTCCGGACCAGATCTACATGACCTGACGGAAGACCGCAAGACCGTCGAGTTCGGCAAAGCGGACGACAACACGGTCCGCAAGTAGATCGTCGAGGACAAGTGGCCGGATGCTCAAGGCATCCGAGTGCTACAGGATGGAGCCTGGACCGGCAGCAGCTGCTTCTGGAAGTCAGTCGGAGAAAAGCTGTCTGCCAACAAGGTGCACTCGAGCGTAAGCCAACTGCAGAACCTAAGCAGTAAGGACGGACAGATCGTCATTTATCACGATCGGAAGCTCTCAGAGACGGAGACTCCGGCAATGACGACGGTGGCTTCGTGACGGGCTGAAGCGGAAGACGGTGGACACCCCGGCTGCTGAAGGCCGAGCACTTTAAGGAGGCTTGGGCACGGCAGGACTGTCCGCGGCACACTCGCTTTTGCCTGCAACCCACACTCAACGCTCTGGCGCGCTCAGCAGGGATCCCCCCCGATCCCTGTGACTGTTCAAATTTTTGAGACATCACAGGCTTCAGCCTGGGTTTACTCCTTTCAGGGTTTCGGCACACGGGATCCCCGATCCCTGTGACGGTTCACACTCTTGAGACATCACAGGCTTCGGCCTGGGTTTACTCCTTGTACGGTTTCGGGGTCCGTTTACCCCGTTTAGGGCTCCGGTCTGGGTTTACTCCTTTTAGGGTTTCGGCCTGGGTTTACTCCTTTTAGGGTTTCGGTCTGGGTTTAGTATTTTTAAGGCTTCGGGTAGATTTACTCCTTTTAGGGTTTCGGTCTGGGCTGACTCCTTCGGGGTTTCAGCCTGGGTTTGCTCCGTGTAGGGTCTCGGTCTGGGTTTAGTCTTTTTATGGCTTCGGTCTGGGTTTCGTGCTTATAGAGCTTCAGCCTGGGCTTGCTCCTTTACGGTTTACTCCTTTGGGGCTGCGGCCTGGGTTTACTTCTTTTAGGGTTTCGGGGCCCGCTTACCCCTTTTAGGCATCCTTTGAGGGCGTCGGCTTGGGTTTACTCCTTTTAGGGTTGCAGGGCCCGTTTACCCCTTGTAGGGTTTAGGTCTGGGTTTCCGTCCTTTTGGGGCTTCGGCCTGGGTTTACTCCTTTTAAAGTTTCGGTCCGGCCTGGGTTTGCTCCTTTTTGGGTTTCGGTCTGTTGGTCCTTTCAGATTCTGTCTGGGTTTATTCCTTCAGGGTTTCGGTCTGGGCTTGCTCCTTTTAAGGCTTCGGCCTGGGTTTACTCCTTGTAGGGTTTCGGGGTCCGTTTACTCCTTTCACGCATCCTGTTGGGGCTTTGGCCGGGTTTACTCCTTTTAGAGTTTCGGCCTGGGTTTACTGTTTTTAGGGCTTACGTCTGGGTTACAGTCACAAAAATCGGGGAGATCCTGCTCCAGCACTGTCGTCACTCTTCTACCGTTCTTGGGTCCTCGTGTCGCAAAAGTGTGAACAGTCACGAGGATCGCGGAGACCTGGTCGCGACATCGTCACTTCTTTGTGTGGGTCGTCGTATCTCTTTAAAGTGTCAACAGTCACAGGGATCAGGGACCGCGCGTGCCGTTTCGACACAAACGGCGTGTGCACCTTAAACACAAATGGCACGTGCAGCTGGGACGGCGTGCCCCTTGGGGGCGGTGCACTGGCATCGTCTACTTTTCATGGAGGCCCTCTTCGGTGATCTTTCAGTGACGGACTGGAAAGCGGTCGCAGGAAGAAGACTTCCTTTTCTCGCAGCTGTAGGTTCGAAGTCCTGGTATGATGCAATGACCAATTGTGCTTGTACAGCATCTTATGTGAGCGATAAGAGAACTGCCATTGCTCTGGCAGCCATCAAGTCGGATTTGGCTGAGACCAGCGGCACGATCCGATGGATAGATATTAGATCGATGTTGCCAGATCCTCTTACCAAGCAGCATCCGGGAGCATATCTGAGATATGTTCTTCGTCATGACTGTTGGTCTGTCATGGAAGAGGCACATGCTTTGCAAGCCAAAGCACTTGAAAGAGAGGCCAGAAGAGCCCATGAGAACCTCTTCATGACGATTTGGGAATATAGTGTGCGCAAGGAAAAGGCCTGATGCTGTGTTTTGGGGCTGCCACTGTTGCTACCAGCAAAACTATACACCCCTGAACCAAGGTCCCGAGCTTTGCCAGGGACGTGCTCAGCGGCACAGCCAGCTGCGCGGCCGCACGGTCCGGGACCTGCAGGAAGGGAACAGCTCATGTGAGTTTGAGTGAGCTTTGGGATTCTGGGCTTAAGGGGCTTTGTAGGGTTTAGGGTTCACGGCTTTTGAAGGCTTCGGCTTTGTGACTCATGCTATGATTTGCGTTCGGCCTCTTCTTGCTCCAGGTTTACATGGAGCTCCGGCACAAGACGTAGACTTTGAGCTGGCATTGGTGTCTCTTCTCAGGGCATATGCACACGTTGGCTCGCACCTGGCGTCCCTGTGAAGCCTGACACCTAACCATGAAGCTCGAAGGCCTTCGCGCGAGCATCTCAAGGATTGAATCCCGACCCACGCCATTCCACACACACGAAGAAGATCTAGTAACCCTGCCACTCAAACTGCAACCTCAGTATCCCCAAACCCAACACCAGACAAAGCCCACCTCTAAGAGCAGCATGGCGTGAACATACCTGAAGCCGTCCGGGACTTAACTCCTTCTTCCCTCCAGTCTGGGGGTTCTGAGGGGTTTGTTCCAAACTTGACATGAAAACGCGTTGGGCGCACTCCTCAGGGCAGAAGGCTCGAATCCTTGCGTCTTGGAGATTGTCCTATCAATAGCAGAAAGCCTCGATCGGAGATCTGGGAGTCTGTTTCCTCAGCTTTGGGGATTTCAGGCTGTCCTTTCCCTTGAACAGCTCGAAAATCAAACTAGGAGCTATAGACTTCGCATACTTCGCCCAGCCCCTACATCAGCTGGACGAGAGACAAGGATGCAAAACAGTGAAATTGGGTGTCCGCCTGGAGTGGAAGCGGGCCTTGGCTCTCAGGCGTTTGGTGTCTACTTTTTGCTAGGGAGCGCACTCCTCCTCAGAGACGGGGTAATCGGTTGTGATCCACGTCTTGAGGTGCAAGTCCTCTTGACGGCTTGGGGGCTGAGGCATAGGGAACATGAGAAACAGACATACATAGAAAGCACATCATGCAGTTCATTCCGCAGCTACGTGATGAGGACCATTGCACCGAATGAACTATACATGTCAAAACAGCATCTTACTCGAAGAAAGGTTGTTAACGCTGGCGCTCTGTCACATACCTCACAACAATCACCGCATGAAACACAAGGAAAGACATGACCCCCCACCCCCAGCAAGTGCCAGCAACATACAACTGAAGTTCAAGCCTCTGACGTGCCCCTACACAGTACGCAGAAAGCTGTTCAGCACCTAAAAGCCACCTAGCCCGAGCACTGACAGCCTCAAATCCCAAAACTTGGTTGGGGGTACCGCGGAGCTGAAACCGAAACCCAACAGCTGGAGGTCCCTGATGTTTCTTCAAAAAGTCCTGCAGCTGCTGCGCAACACCTCAGGGGATATCATTTAAGGCGCACGGCCCACTGTGTCGGGTGTACGAGGCTCGGGCATGAGAAACCAGATCTTTCCAGCGTTGCCAGCCGACAAACCATCTCCAAGCCAAGCCCACCCTGAAAACCGAAAGTCGCAAGCCAACAGGAAGCCATGACAAGAATCCAGTGTCCTATGTACGATTGGGAAATCATCGAACTAAGGGGGCACCTTGACTGGCAGAGTTCCATGCCGAGTCCTTTCACATAGGCTTCTCTATTCAAGTTCCACATCGCCAGGGAAGACCGTAAGGACGAGGCGCCGCGGCCAATTACAATGAGACCATGAATTTCACAGGATAGGAACCCATTAGCAGTAGCAACCACAAAAACCGGCCAGAGGCCGGAACCCCTGAAGACCCCCAAGAGGCCACAACACAAAACAACGAAAACAAGCCCAGGAGACATCGGAAGAAAAAACGGTGCATAATCCTCAAAAGCACCAGCTTTGAACTTGAATCTCGACACCCCCCGATCCTCAAGCCCTAAACCCAAACTCCTAAACCCCAAACCTAAAATCCTAACCCCGAAGGCCTAAGTAAGAAGCGTTCGAGACCCTGGCGGAGAGCAACGGACTGTAGCTCACGGCCGCTGAGGCCTCTCCGGCCGGACAGTCTGTGGGGTTTGGGGGGTTTGGGGGGTTTAAGGTTAGGGTAGGGTCTTCTGACTGAGGTATAGGCAGGCAGGCCGATTTTAAAGACGATGGTCTTTGGGTTCAGGGACAGTCGGCATAATGTCGCGGTCCTTTTGTGTGGGCCTTTGAGTTGTTGTGGGCCTTGGGTGGGTGGAAGCAAGATGTTTCAAGTATGACTGCTTTGATCCGACGTGGGGAAGTCGCAGGGCAAGATGAAGGTTTTTCAACGTTGGAGGTGCCAGGGCAAGGGTCTGTTGACGATCCATGACGATGCTTTTCAAGAGCTTGCGTTGAGCCGTTGAGCTACTGCCGCAAAGGAAGCCTATTGCTTGCGACACTTCCCTGTAAGGTTTATTAAAGCTAACGGGGCCCAGGTGCACCTCCCACAGACAACCCTGTCTTGAAACTTCACGAAACCCTACACCCCGGAACCCTGCAAAGAAACGGTGCAGCCTCCCGGCCGTGCCGGAACGCCCCGTGAGCGCAGCGCTTGCGGAAGCCTGGGGAAGGCGCGAAGCCCGGAGGCCAATAGGTGGGTCAAAGTGGTTAAAGCTTGCAGTTTCGGTGTTGTTGCTAAAGGTCAAACCTTACCGCCAACAACCGCTCGATCAGCTCTGTTGCTTGAGGCTTGCGGATTTCGAGTCTGTGCTTCGGGGACAAAAGGCACCGGGCCCCCAACTCCCGAATCATAATCTTAGAGCCAGTTCTTCCCTCACTTTTTGTCATACAGCATCGACGTATCGTTGTGTAACGAACTAGTATCGATTCTGAAACTCCTGTCTTCTTATCTTGCTATACATGCCCGGTGCTATATTCATATTGTTGCTGTTGAACGGAATAAAGTGCACAGCCCGTTCACAGCAGAACCGTTAGCCCGCAAATCTTTTCCACGCGGATTCCCTTCCCAAGCGAACTTGATTCGGCGCGGCAGGGCACAACAGATGAGCTCAGTGACTTCTGCAGGATGCAACAGACCTTTTGTTTAGCACCAGTCTTATTTTACGAAGTCCTGAGCACATCTAGCGCCAAACCTGGTTCGCCGCACTGCCAACAGCAACATCCTTTGAAGCTTTGCTGTCCACTAGAGTCACGGTGGGGTTTCTCATCCACTCGAGAAAAGAGTCTCGCAGCTGCCTCGACC